CTCTGTTTTTTCATAAGTCTTTTTATTTTATATTATTTATTTATTTTACAATGAATAGTTATAAATTAATCAAACTAGTCAAAATCTCTGACTAAAGACAAATTTCAATACTGTACTGAAATTTCTTACTTTGGTACTGGATCCATATTCTATTTTATTGAAATGGCAATTAAAAAGGTTAATCAATAAATTTAAACTAACTTAGTTATTTGTCTTGATTCTCCCTTGAATTTAAAAAAAAAAGATATTTGGCATGTTTGGAGTGATTTTTTAAAAATACTTTTAGAAATTATTTTTCATAAATATTTTTTTTTAAAATAGTGTTTGAAACCGCCCCACCATTACCTCTACCACCACCACCCTCACCCTCACCCCCACCACCACTATCTCTACCACCACTGTCGTCATTGCCACCGCCATCACCACCACTGTCGTCATCGCCACCACAACCGTTATTGTCGTCGCCCCCCTCCACCACCACCACCGTCGCCACCAACACAATCGTTGTCGTTACCCTCGTCGCCACCATCGCTATTGTCGCCGCAGTCTCCGTCGCCACCACCGTCGTCGCCACTACCCCCGTCACCACAGTCACCGTCTCCATCGCCACCACCACTGTCGCCGCCACCACCATTGCGTCGCAACCATCATCGTCGCAACCACGATCATTGTCACCTACTACCACATTACCATCTCCTACCATCACCACTGTCACCCACCACCTCTCACCCCCCACTATAATCGATGTTTAAATTCATTTATCTCTACTCTATATTTTTGATTTGATTTTAGATATAAATACAAATATTTTTATTATTTTTTATTTTAAAATACTCTATACCTTCAAGCACATACAATAACTAGTAGGTTAATATTAGATCATTTGGAGTAAAATAAATCAGCTCCGTTTTGACCTTAATTTTTAGACTTGCTTATAAAAAAGTTTTCTTGACTTACTAAAACATAACGGATTTGACTATTGTACCAAAGAAAAAAATTTTGTATCGTAATTTTATATTTTATTACTTTAATAGGTGTTTTTATCATTTTTGTAAGTCATTTATCATATTTATGAATATTTTTATCACTGTTAAAAATATTTTTCAATATCTTAGACAACTTCAGAAAGAAGGAATTGAACTCAAGAAAAGCTATATAAATCCATTAATTAAAGATGGTAAATATAAATTTAGATATCTTATATTCAAATCTTGGCAATCTCTTGAGATCAGGTAATGAGAGATTTATCTCTTATAAATCTTCTAATTTCGACGTGGATGAGCGAGCTACCTTTGACCGCATCAAAAAAAAAATTATTCGAAATACATACAAGTTAACTTAAATTTCCCTGACCATTAAAAAAAAAAAAAAGATGATTGTATTATGAAAGAGATTGGTGCAGAAAATGAGACTTGAAGCTCAATCAAAACAATAATGATTTAGTGGTACTTATAAAAAATTAAATGTCTATCGCCACAGGTTTATTAATTGATAAACTCTTATTAAATGTGGAAGATATTGATATCAATAATGTGAGACCAATCACATCCTTGGATTTTTTTATGTCACCCACCCAACACTAAATCTTTTGAAATTCGAATTTTGCATAAAATAATTCACTACAAGAATAAGAGTTTTTTGTAACAAATTTTTTATGACAGTTGTGTTTGCAGTCATAAAAGTCATGTTTGAGACAATTTTTTGTGACAACTGTGTTTGTCGTCACAAAAAACGTGTTTGTATTAATATTTTGTTAATATTTGTGACAACTATTTTTCCTATCGTAAATAGTGTCATAAACTCAAAAAAAAATTTTGTATTTAAGACATCTATTTTTCCTACCACAAATAATATTTCATAAACTCAAAGGAATTTTTTATATTTATGGCAGCTATTTTTTCCGCTGTATATAATATTTTATAAAACATTAAAATGTTGTTTTAGATTAAAAAATAGTTTATAGGTTAAAGAAGAAAAACTCTTAAAAAAATTGTATTGACCACAACTATTTTTCATATTACAAGTAATATTTTATAAAATTATGTAATTTTACACCAAAAAACAATTTTTAGTTCAAAAAAAAAATTAAATTCTACAAAATTAATTTTTTATATCAAAACTAGGGGTGTCGAAATATGACACGACTCGTTAACACGACATAAAATTAGTAGGTTTGAATCTTCGTTAAGTCACATGTTTAGTAAACGAGTAGATTCGATACGATACGATTATAAACGAATCAAGTATTGGTGAAACCAATTAGAAGAAATATATACGATATGACTCGTTTATATACCATTTATATAATTGAACAAACCGTTTAAAGAAATATTGTGTGACTCTCTATTGATGTATATTTTAACTTCTTTTAGTTCTTTATTGTATATATGTATATAAATATCATTTCAGTATAGTAAAAATAATTTAATTTTTTTTTTTTCATATGTCACTGAAAGATTAGATGGTTCGAGAAGGATATTCAACTTTTTGGATTAATTTCTTTTACTTATGAATCATTATATTTTGTAAAAGTGCATATTTTACATTTTATTTAACTCATAAAATTTTTTTTTTTTAAATAAAAATATTGCCATGTTTTTAGGTTTTGATTAACCCCTAGATTACGTCCTTACCCAATCCTATTATTCAACCATTCACTTGGATTTTGGATGATCTAGGACCACCATTGTTGCAAGTTGCGAAGTATTTCCTTGGGTGCAAAAGAAATAGGGTTGTAACTCGAGTGAGTTGGACAGTCAATCTTAATCCAACTCTAAGTATATAAACCCGAGTATTATTCGAGTTTAATTCGGGCAATTTCGGATTGATTTTAAGTTATTTTATCAGCTGATTTCGGGTTAATTCAATCAAATTTTTAACATAAAAATTATAATATTAAGAACTCAATGTTTAAGATAAGACAACCACATCCATATAAAATACAAATAAACACAACTAGAATCTTTACACAAACATAAAGTTTACTGCTCAAACATAGATATCCGTACTTAAACAAAATTCTTACACAATCAGAATCCTTGACAGAGATTAAGAGTGAACGAAGGTCTGAGGGAGACGCACACTTGAGTTGCAATTAACCTTAGAATAAAATTATATTTATATAGTATTAAATCGAGGTTGAACCCGATGACTCAACCCTAGACCCGTCCAAATTGAATTCAGATTAAGATTTTTTGATTCAAACTCAGTTCAAGTATTAAAAATTTTAGTACAAATCTTAATTTTTTTAAATTAAACGCGGGTTAAGATCGTGTTAGCTCACTCAAGTTGCACCCTAAAAAGAAGTAAATATGAGCACCTTCCGTGAAGGAGACCTACACGAAATTGGCACAATAGGAATGGGACCATCACACTGCAATAATATTGGTGGGTAATTGGAGTGGTGCCCACCAATATTTGGTGGGGTATTGACTTTATGTAAGACTTATCCAAAACAGCATTGTTCATTTGTCTAGGACCAATGAATCCGTATTGCACCCGCAATTAAGTCCTCTTTGTTCCTTCTTCACCAATTCATCGCCTGCGATTTAACTAGCTTTTTAATTTTATTCCTTTGTGGATAAATTACTTTCAAATTCATTACAAAATTTTTTTTAAAAAAATTCGTACAAAATAAATCATAATATATGTTTAAAGAAAGTAAAAGTTACCCAAAATGACAAAACAACTTAGAATTTTCGAAGAAATAGTCTGCTATATGGAGAAAAATTTGAAGAAATCAACCCAAATAGAGGAAGAAAAACTTTAGGGTTTATACCAAAATATTAAAAAAAAACTGAGGATTAGTGGCAAGAGTCAAAGGCCAGAATTGAGTTAGATGAGATTTAAGGAGATAAGACATTCTAATAAAAGATCTCGAAAAGTGAAAAGATGTGTAAAACTTGATCGATATTGTCGGTTACAAGTGATTTTGATGCATATTTATAGTTGTTAAGAGTAAGAGGCCATGAACACTTGCTTAATTACTAGAAAAGATGGCTTCAATGATTGGAAGTTAACGTCTATAAATATAGAGAATCAGGCAACAGAGAAGGGATTCGCGATTAATACTCCTATAAAAACAACATATCAGAATCCTTCTTTGCACTATTTAGTTGACACTTTTATTTTACTCTATAGTTTTGTCGTCACTCCGACGAGTTCTTACTGTTTTAATTCCAGCACAGTAGTTTATACATTAATTCTGCCTTGTTATTTTAATTATTGTTTGCTCCAATTCTATTTAGCTCTTTTTTACTTTCCAATTCGGTTGCCTCCTCTTAGGGAATAGTTTAAGTCTTTAATTTACAAAGCATAAAAAGAATTTAGAAATAGTCTTATATTTCGTTTCAATCGTCTAAACATTCATGACTTCAGAAATTTACATCCATTTGAATACATAAAGTCGTAGTGATTTGAGTTATTAAGTTAATTTTAACTTTGGTACACTTGTTAAATACGCCAAAACAAGCACCAACAAAGGTTAAAGTGGTAGTAATAATTTTTTGACATTTAAGTTACAACTCTAGGTATTAATCGATTCTCAAATATCATGATCAATATTAAAATTATGATTTTTAAAAATCATCAACTTTAAAACAAATAATTTTCCATACCGATTTTTTTTATGAGACGTTAGTACTATTTTTATTATTTTGAATAGTTTATATATAAAAAGACGATAAGTGAAATTCGAGCACACGATTTTGAAGTCATGCATTCTCACCTTAGTGCTATTATGGAAACGCTCAATTGTAGAAAATTAAGAATGCCATTACATGATCGGCAGCAAAACCCTCTGCCATGGTGACAAACAAATATTGCTGCTGTAAGGCCAATGACGTCATCCCAACCCAGCTCTCTCATCCCTCATTTCCACCACGTGACTGAAAACCCACCCCCTCTTTCTCCCACTTGCAAGATATAGAACTTTCAAAGAAGCTCAATCCTCCCTACAAAAGTCCAAAGACATCAAACTCATTTTGAACAAAAGGTAAAAGATTTCAACTAAGTTCATGAACCTCTTCACCGACTCAGCATCTATTTAATCCCCACACCATCTTTTCCCTCAAAGATCGAAGCTTTCTCTCCCCTCTCAGTTCGATTCAGCTTAAACTGTAAACAACCCACAACTGAATTTGAGCTTATTTGTTTTGATTTCAATATGATGATGTATGAAAATGGTGGTTTTGAATCTTTTGTTTCTGATTTAGCACTTTTGGACTCAATAAGTCGTTACTTGCTCGATGATTCTGAAGCTTTACCCACAAATTCCGGCGACTCTCCGGAAGTATATTGCTCGAGCAATAGCTTCGGTTCCAATTTGTCCCCGTCCTTGACTGAAAACTGGGGACATGGTAGTTTACCTCTTCAAGAAAATGACCCCGACGACATGGTGGTTTATGGCGTCCTTTGCGACGCTGTCAACTTTGGATGGCTGCCATCTGTCTCCGCCACCGCAACCGTCAAGACCGAGCCCGAAATTGTTGCTGAATCGCCGGGAAAAATAGAGTTTCCAGCGGTGGCGGTACCTGAGAGGGTGGCGACGGAGATGTTGGAGCCGGCGGTAGTGCCGTCGAAGGGAAAGCATTACAGAGGGGTGAGGCGGCGGCCGTGGGGGAAGTTCGCGGCGGAGATAAGGGATCCGGCGAAGAATGGGGCCAGGGTGTGGCTCGGGACTTTTGAGACCGCGGAGGATGCGGCGTTGGCCTATGACAGGGCGGCGTACCGCATGCGGGGGTCACGTGCGCTGTTGAACTTTCCGCTTAGGATTAACACCGGCGAGCCGGAGCCGGTGAGAGTGACATCGAAAAGGTCGCCGACGTCGACGGATGGTTCATCGTCGTCGGAAAGTGGGTCGCCGAAGAGGAGGAAGAGGGTGGTGGGTTGAAAAAAGTAATGATACATTAATCAAATTTTTGGGATCAAATTTAGAGCCTAAATGACATGACAACATATTATTTTGAGTTTTTATTAGGTCCAAACGACATGACACTAAAAAAAAAAAATTAAGTCACCTTTCATGTCATTTAGACTTCAAATTTAATCCCAAAATTTGATCAATTTAACATTCTTCGGATTGAAAATAGGTAACAGTTTTGGGCTACTGAACGAGGAGTATAGAAGCTGTACATTTGGACTTGGGCTTTTCCATGATTCTGCAAACTTTGAACCCAAAAAACAAAAGAAAGAAGAAAAATGAGGGGCTGTACAGGAATTATATAGATAAATGATCAGTTGGAGTTTTGATGATTTCTATTTTTTAAATTTTGTAATTGGATTATTAGTGGTTTCAGGGAATTTTATCATTTTGGGTGTCGTGGGATTCAATTCGAAATGACTACATTTGAAAGCATATTATTTTTTTTTATAGAATAAATTACACATATAATCTTTAAACTATGACATTTGTATCAATTAAATCTCTAATTTTTTTTTTTGTTTCAATCGAACCTATGAGCTTTTTAATTGTATCAATTGAGCCCAAAAGCAAAGAAGTATGTCACTTACGTGACACAAATGAGTTAAACTAATCTACACATATAATCTTTAAACAACGGCTCGTGCGCTAATTAAATTGCTAAATTTTTTTTTGTGATCTTCTACTTCAAAACTTATGATTTCTAACGATTTTAAAGTTAGGAAAAATTTCAACTACATTCTCTCTAGTTTATAATATCTTCAAAAATGTTCTTACTATTTTTTGAATCTTCACTGACATTCTCTATCAGATTAAAAATATTAACTAGAATGTAAATTTACTAAATTATCCATGATATATTTGAGAACAAACTTCATCCACACCCCTTCTAGATAAGCACATCTTTAATGAGACTCCTTTTGTGTTCTAATTTTTTTTACGTATTAAAATTCAGACTGATTAAAATTCGATTCAATCTAATTAATTTTTTTTTACATATTACAACTTGAGTCGACTAAAAATTATATTTTTATGTATTAAAATTTGGACTAATTAAAATTCTATTTGAGCCAATTAAAACTTATTTTTAGCCGACTCAAATCAAGTTTTAATCAACTCTCACTGAATTTTAATCAACGCAAATTTTAATACATAAAAAAATATAAATTTTAATAAATTGTATTTTAATTGACACGAATTTTAATGAGTAAAAAAATATAAATTTTAGTCAACTTGAAAGCGAATTTAAATCGGCGTTAACAACTTGGATAGAGTTCAAATCACCTCAAATTTTAGTACGTAAAAAAAATTTAATAGACTCGAATTTTAATAAGTTAAAAAAAAAATTAATCAGCTTCAATCGAATTTTAATTACTACAAATTTTAATATGTAGAAAAATAAATTTTAATCAGTTCAAATTTTAATAAAATTTTATATAGAAAAATTACTTGAGGTTTATGTATGGACATTTTTGGTATTTTAGATGAATTTTTTTTTGTTAAAAATGATAGTTTACTAGTAAGAAGTGTTAGTGATGTTTAAATATAAACTAGAAGAGGTGTCGGTAATATTTTTTAGATGTCCTTGAAGATATAATAAACGAGGAAAGATGTGGCTGAAATTTTCCCTTAAAGTTGTTGTAATTTCTGATATTACGTCTTTGATATTCTGCATCTTAAATTTTCTGTGTGTCTCATAATCTTTTATTCTTGACCAACAACAACCAAAAAAAAAAAAAGATAAAAATCTTTTATTTGTTGTTAATCTACGTTTGGATCGCCTAACTAATTTTTTTCTTATTTTTTCTTTTTTTCTATAAATACTCATATTATCCTTGAATATACAAAATCATTAAAATAGTTTTTGAATCATAAGCATCTTAAAAATAGCTCTACTCATACACCAAATTGGGTAACTTAATTTTAACCCGAGTTTGTCCGAAATTAACTCGGACAATACTTAAGTTGAGTATTTCGAATTGAGTCAGATTAGAGTTAAAAATTTTATACATAGAATTAGACTAGAGTTGATCCCTCGATCCACTCAAGTTGCACTCATAATCTCCACCTGTCACACCCTAACTAACTTGGGTGCAAATAGTCGATCTTGGTGGCACTTTGCACTAAGGTCTGTCATAAGTTAGAATCAAGGTGATACGACTAAGTGGTTTGACAGATTGGGGCGAACCAAGGCAATATGAGAACACCCGATTGAGCATGNCATCCTTCCACTTTTTCATTATATCAAACGGAGCATTAATGTATTAGTATATATAATTTGATGTACTAGTGTGTATTTGTGTGTATTTTGATGTAATAGTGTGCGTGTATGTTTTGATGTAATAATGTGTGTTAATTAAGAGTTTTAATTATTTTACGAGTTAATGGATTCAACCCAACCCATTATAATTTATTTAATACGTGAGTTGAAAATGAATTGAATATATTTTATATCTAATCCAATTTAATCTAACTTATAATTAACTTAACCCGTCCATTTGTCACCATTACATATGACATTATATATTTATCGTGATTTTTGAAATTAAATAGTAAATGCAATGAAGCCAAAACAAACCAACTGACCCCAAATGTAGAAGAAAAACTAATCAAGACTAATATTTCAAAATCCAAAAAACAAAACCTTTCGAGGCCCTATTTAAAATTTTGCCAAAAGCCTCAAGGGCTTGTTTGGGTAGATTTTTTAGGAGAGTTTGAATTGACTTCTTAAAACTCTTCTACATTTAAACATTTTTTTATAAAGATGAGATTTAATATTGAATTCAGTCTATACCTATGTACACTATATCCTGAGTGTCTATATAGTATTAATAATTATTTGTAAACAGAATATTTATTTTATTTTACCCCTTCATCAATCAAATTCGTACTCATCTTAAAGCATATAATTATCTTTTAAATCCTTAACCCATCTTCCCAAACACACCCTTCCTAGGTTTGACGAAATCCATAATCATAAATTTAGTATCCGGGCCAGTTACAAGCCGGATTTAAGAATCTAAGATTGAATTTTTAATCCAAACATAAAATTTGAAGGTTACCAAGAATAAAAATAGAGAAAAAATATATCTCAAGGGAATCGTACTTTAGTAACTCGTATGATGACGCCTGTATGATTGGTGCGGATGAAGAAAATTGATGCCTTAGTCCTTNCAAGAATAAAAATAGAGAAAAAATATATCTCAAGGGAATCGTACTTTAGTAACTCGTATGATGACGCCTGTATGATTGGTGCGGATGAAGAAAATTGATGCCTTAGTCCTTAATTTTTCTATTTTTTTAACATCTAAGTTATAGACATTAGATTTCTACTTTTAAACTTAGACTAATATTATTGATCCAAGCATAAATGGTGAAGCTTAGGTGAACCAAGCCCATTTCAAATAACGGGCCCATCAAATAAGCAGGCTTGGTTCCCCCACATTCTATCTACCAACACATGTGTTTATATATCTATCTAATATTGCATCTCAAAAATTGAAATCTAAACTTATAAAAATATAACAACGGTTAAGATTGATTCATTTTTCATCTATTCTAATCTAATGGTATAAATTTCATTCTCAAATTTATTTTCTCACTCAAAAATATTAACATCTCTACACGACCCCAAATATCAAACAATTCAACAAACAAACTCTCTAATACCAAATAACTCAATTAATTTATACTTACTTCTCTCTTCTCTGTCCCCTATATCTATCTTATTTTGTCTCTGTTCACTTTAATTTTAGATTATATAATTAAAAAAAATTATTTAAAATATAAATATCATACAATTAATATTTAGTTTTTGTGATTATAGAGTATTTTTAGGCACGAAGTTATTCTTAGTGAATATATATTTTGTATAAAACATATATGCCGACTTCTAAATAAACTAGTTGTTACACACGTGTGTTGCAAGTGAATCATTTTGAGTACAAAATATTGTACATTAAAATCGTGGACCATTTTCTCACAATTAGCATCTTTAGCAAACATTGATGGTCCCAAACAATACTAACCAAAGATATATTGAATGAAATATTTGGTGCAAATACATAGTACTTTATTTCATCCTTACAATGTCTATGGTACGACAAATGGCACCCAAGAGGCCCTCTTATTTTGATTTGAAACCACATATTTATCGCAGATTTTGGGTTACCAAAGGAAGCTAAAGTGAGTAAAATTATTTCTTACAACCAGTGGCAATGGCCATAAACTCCATCTATTGATTTATATGATATTTCAAGCACTATGCCTTCCTATGCCCCAAACCATGCCAGAGTGGATGGGATCAAGTGGGCTCCTACTATCAATGACAAGTTCACTGCTGCATCTGCCTGGAAGGTCATTTGGAACCCAAACCCAAAAGTGCCATGGTTTAAGCTAATTTGGTTCACACAAGCTGTTCCCAGATTGAGTTTCATTTTATGTTTGGCTATTGATGAGAGACTCATTACTAAGGATAGGATTTTTAATCATAGCGTGGATGGGAATTGTATTATGTGTAGAGGGGTTGCTGAAACACATGCTCACCTTTTCTTTGAGTGCACTTATTCACAGAGTATTTGGATTCAGCTGCAGAACATGCTCACTCAATCTTGGTAACCCAGGACATGGCTAGTGTTTATTGCTTGGGCTGCTCAAAATTGGAAAGACAATTTTGTTTTGACAGTGTTGCATAAATTAAGCCTTCAAGCCACTATATATTGCCTTTGGAGAGAAAAAAACAAGAAGTTATTTAGGAATGAATTTAAAGACACTGAATCTATTATGCACAGCATTTTGCAGATCATTAGGGATAGGATGGTGTCCTTGAAATTTAGGAACTCCTATCATAATCAACAAGTGGCATTTTCTAACCCATTGTCTTAACCCATGATTCTTCTTTGAATGTGTTGTCCCCTGATCATGGAGGCCTGTTTTGCCTTCTCTGTTTCCCTAGAGTCAAGATTCTACTAAAAGAACCAGCTCAAGGCCGACACTTTCTTTAGAATTCCAATTTCTTGGTTTGTTGTTGTTTTTTTGGGTTCCTCTCTTTTGTTATGGGTGGATGCACACTATCATGTAAGCATCACCCTTTCTTTTATCTTGTATAGTTCTTTTATGAATATAGTTTACCTTCCGAAAAAAAAACTTCCCTAATTGCAACTATTAAAAGTTTTATATATCATCTCATAAAAGATTACTAGTTATTGTCAGTGCTTAAAGGCACAAAGTAATAAAAAATAATAAACAATAAACAAATATGTATTCATATTCAAAATCAAACCACAAATATAGATGAGAAATAAATAAATTTAAGCGTCAGTTGTAGTGGGGGT